GAAGACGGGAGCACGGGACGAAGACGTAATTGCGGAATGTGCGTGGAAGAGGGCGGGAGGGGGGAGAGAGAAGAGAGGTCATAAGGAGAGTTACGGCTCAAATGTCCGGCCCCCCCGGCTCTGGCGATAATCGCACACGTCTGTCTCCCCCCCCCCCGTACGACGTCGACATTGATGGCGCGTCTCTTGTTATGCGATTACCGCGACGAGAAGACAAATAGGCTTTGAAAATAAAGAGAGAGAGAGAGAGAGAGAGGAAAAAGGAAGAGAGGAATAGGAAGTGGTGTACGTGCGCGCGCGTGAGCGATGGTCGAAGGTGAGATCGCGTCCTCGGAAGTCGCGCGAAGAGAAGCGCAGAAAGAAGGATACGAAGATGGATCGAAGGGTAGTAGCGACGAGAAAGCGTGTTAAGAACAAACCCGAAAGACACGAACAACAAGAGAAGAAGGAGAAGAAGAGCATGGGGGGTGGAGGGGGGAAGGGGCAACACCTTGGAAGAGTAAACCGGAAGAAAGCAAGGAGGAGCGACGGTGACGACGAGCGCAAAGACGCGTTAGGGGCCAGAAGGAGGATGAGAGAGAGAGAGAGAGAGAAGGAAGAGGAGGAGGAAGAGGAGGAGAAAATAATAACGACCCCGACGACGTCGCAGTGCCGCAGAAAGGTTGACGACCCGATGCGGCAGGCGACGCCCTCCTTCCCCTCTCGTGCTGCCGACGCCCTCCGCAGCAACTCCATCGGCAACCCCTTCTGCTGCTGCTGCTGCAGCAGCAGCCGCCGCCGCCACCACCACCACCACCTCTCCATGGCCACCGCCATCGGCAAACCACCTAAACCACCCAACCGCCCGACTACCCTCCTTGCGCTCCCTCCAGCTGGTGTGCCGAAGCGCATACATACGTACGCCAGCAGCACAGGGCCATCCTCGTTCCCACCTCGTCCTCTTCTCTCTCTCTCTCTCTGTCTCTGTCTCTCTTTCTCGCACCCTTCATCCCTCGTATATATACATATATATATATATATGTATATATATCCCGACCGTCGCTACCACTAGCGTTACCCTGCGACCGTCTGGCCAGGGTCGGGGTCATTGAACGTCTATAAAGATTTTGACTTCGCGCCGCCGCCGCCGCCGCCGCCGCCGCCGCTACCACCACTGCTACTACTACCACCGCCGCTGCGGATGCAGGAAGCGAGTTACGCCCTTTTATACAGAGTGTAACATAATTTGCCGGCCATCCCAAACCCGGTTGGCAGGCAGAAGAGAGATGTGCCGGGACGATACGCCGATATTAATACCACACGGAACGAGAACCAATGTCAGTCTATTTTCACAGGTAAAAGGATACGCGCGCCTGTGTGCGCGTGATGTGTGTGCGTCCAGAATTACACCGCTTGTCCTGGATCCCGGGATATTAATGTGATAACGAGGTTTTCCCTCCCGCGCCTTACGACGCGAACTGACGTACACAATTCGACCGTTTCGAAAATGACATTTTTTTTTTCTCTCTCTCTCTCTCTCTATCTATCTATCTCTCGTTAAAGATGTTACCTCCGTCGTTACGTTATTTATATCCGCGACTCACTTGGACGCTAAAATTGAACGTTGGTGGAAAAACTGAAATAAATCAATTTTTTAAAAATACACACACCTCCTCGGTAAGGAACACAGCTCGTCGCGCTGCTTGGGACTGGTTCGGGATTCGCGTTATATATATATAGTACGTTGTCGTGATGTAATTGCGAGGGAGAGGGAAAGAGGGGACTATACTTCACACAGAGACTTAACTGAATATTTCACGGCGTGAGACACGCCCTCTTTTACGCGAGAGACGTAACGCAATTTGACACCTCCTGGCGGTAACGATAAAGACCGGCCTGTTTCGCGTGCAATTTGTTCGCGCGCTAACCCGAAGTCTCGAGCGCGACAATATTATTTACGGATCGATTGTGTACGGTAACACGTAGGAGCGCCGGAAGAGAAACATTTTTTAAGAGACATCGAATATCCCTCTTCGGAATAAAATCCGTACACGATCGTGCCAACAAAAAAAAAAAAAAATTCAGGACAATTAGTGATAAATTGAGATTACTCTCAGGCTCTATAAGTCTTATTAAACTAATAATATCTGAAAAATAGAGACGTTAAGAGCCGTTCACAGGATGTTGTGCGTGAATATGCTATATATATATATATATATATATATGTGCGTGTATACACATATAAACGAATTCACGTTTTTCACGTGTTTTTGAATTGAAATTTCAATTCATAAAATCATACAGGATGCTATACTTACATCTCATGTATGAAGGACCCCGTATACCCGTATTTTAAAATTAGTTCAGGGGGTAGGGGTAAGAGATACAGTGATTGGCCACTTAAGGAAAACTGCACTATATAGAGTGAATTATAAAATTAAATTTAATAACTTGAAGTAAATCTTCAGTACTACTAGCTCAAACAAATTATAACAATTGCAAATAAAATAATAAATTTATTAGAAAATCTGAAAAAGTATTCTCAAAATTTGATAAAATATTTCCTATAGTCAAAATAGACAGTTATTGGCCATATGAGTTCTGTTAATATCTGTTTACATAACAGTTAACATAATAAATTTTTTGTTTTGACTTATAAAGATATAGTAATGAATATTTTATTTATAACACATAAAAAACTAATAAACCTACTTACATTTGTATCTATAACTCAAAATAAGAGGCCAATGACTGTCACATGGTTTTCGTAACCTTAAAAACAGTGATTGGCCGGTTGGCCAATGTTTGTCGTATAACAATAAGTTTTTTTGAGCTTTTTAAATATTATAATATTACTTTTATTCGGAGCAGAAGAACTTAATTAATATTAAAATGTTTATAATTTAGAATATAATAATAGTATTTATTTATATTTATTACTTCTTTAATACATGGCCAATTACTGTTGGGAGGCCAATAACTGTACTGTTTACCCTTATACGGGGTCCTTCATACATGAGATGCAAGTATAGCATTCTGTATGATTTTATGAATTGAAATTTCAATTCAAAAACACGTGAAAAAACGTGAATTCGTTTATATGTGTATACACGCACGTATATATATATAGCACATTCACGCACAACATCCTGTGAACGGCTCTTAACGTCTCTATTTTTCAGATATTATTAGTTTAAAAAATTCAGAAGTTTAATAAAAACAAAAAGTTGCTGTTACAAAATGATGGAAGAGAAACGGTTGTTTTAAAAAATGTTTTTACAAGTCGGCGCGCGGTTATTATTGAATTAAATACGAGAAGTGCTACAAAACTTCGACGGGAAACGAGATTTACCGGTCAAGATAGCAGTAAAAATAATTTGTAGAACGGAACGATTCTTTTATTTTCGCTCTTCTCGTTTTTCTTCCCGGCGACCGAAGAAAAGCGGAGAAAAGAAGACAAAGCTCGCAAAAGAAACGTCTCGGCGAGAGACAAAAGAATTAGGGAGAGAGGGCGAGAAGGTTTAAGTCAAGTCCGGAGGAAATTTTCGTCGCGTTTGTAGACGGAGACGAGGAAAAGAGGGAGTTGGGAGGGTGAGAGAGTGCTACAGAGGGTTTGTGGGTGTGTGTGTGTGCGTGTGCGGATCGGCGGCGCGTCTTGCCAGGGTCAGAGGTCGTTGAACGTCGGTAAAGATTTCGACTTCGGGCGATGCTGTGTGTTCCGCGGTAAATAGGCGTGCGTGAGGGGTTCCCACCCTCTTCGGTCTTCCCGTGTGTGTGCGTGCGCGCGTATATACATACGTTCGGGTTGGGCGGCGGGGAGCGGCGGCGGCGGAGGGATGAAAGGTCAGAGAGATACGAGACACCCTCTTCGCAGCAGCGAGGCGCACCCTTGTTCGCTACGTAATCTCTGCACGCTACGTGGATGCCATTACGAGCTGGCTAAGCCGCGCGAAGGAAAGAGCCGGGGAATCTTGGGCGCGAGCCGCGGCGAACTTCGAGCCTGGCGAAGCCGGAGGATTGACAAACGGTCTTCCAGGAATCTTTCGGAATCTCGTAACGAACGAGTCGCGTTGTAGGAATTCCAAGTCTTGCCCGTTGCAGTAATCTCTCCGGTCGGAGATTGCAGCGCGGAATTAAACACTTTTTACCGAAAGCAAGAGAGACCGATGTAAACCGCGAGAGATGTGTTACGTAACGTCGCATCGATCGAGAGAAGTTCTTTCATGTAATATTTAGGACGTAAGTTCGTAGTCTAATAATAGATATTTAGCAGTTAGCAAACGCGCCTTGTCGCGCCAAAGCGAACGAGACGAGATGTAAAGCTCATCGGGGTTACGAGGGGAGCGCGTATTTTGACGGGGACGGAATGTAAACCGGGCGCACATAAAAAAAAAAAAAAAAAAGGATAAAGGAAACGACGGCACGGAAAGCCGGAGATTCCAGGTTCGACTCCTGGCCGAGGAGTTTTTTCGCAATATAAATTTAATTTCAATTAGGGAGGGTATTTGGGATTTCTCATATACGAGATGTGCAAGTATAGCATCCAATATGAATTTTAGAATTGTTATTTCAATTCGAATTTCACGTGTAAAAATTTACATGTGAACACGTATATATGGATATGTATATATACACGTATAATTTCCGCACAACACCTAGCGAACGGCTCCTATGTGTCCGAATATATATATTTATTAGTTTAGAAACTTCAGAGCCTGAAAAGATTCTTTAATAGGATAAAGGAATTTTAATTGATTCCCCTCAGGGTTACAATATTTTTCAACACTCCACTTCTATATCCACGATCCATTTGTATCCACGATCTCTATTCGGAGGCCCGATTCAGTTCGCTTTTCAATCGATAAACTCGACTTGAAAGAGACCCGGCCCGGAAAAATCCGACGGTGTGGATTCGAGAACTCGTGGGACCTCCCACTCGCAGCCCTCGCACTCAGGCCGCGAGACCACTGGGCCGGTAACCGGGCGCACATAATTAACGGTAATAAGAAACGATTACTCACTTTGCTGAAGTATCCGACAGTGTGGCAGCCCTCGGAATCGCTTATCGTCATAACGTAGAAGAGAAACGGCTCGACGTCGTAATAAAGCGTTTTGTGATCCAGGAAGAATTTGGCCAACAAGCAGAGATTCTGGCAGTACTGCTTGTAACGTTTGCCGTCCACTTCCCACACGCCTATTTTGTCTTTTCTGCGAAGACAGTAATCGCGATTGCATCAATTACTTCGACTCGAAATGTGGATCGGCGATTGGTTCATTTTTTAATTTGCACGAATTAAGGAAACAATTAAACACTAGATATACCAGCTTATTTAAATATACCTACTAAAAAATACAAAAAATATATTACGAATATATATAAAGTAACATTAAGTTCATAAAA